GGAGGAGTGGGGAATCAAACCTGGTTCTCCCAGATTAGAGTCCACGCACTTAACCACTACACCAAACTGGATTACAAGCAGGGGTCATTTCCTGCAGGAGTGCACAGGAGCGGAGCTCCGGCAGTAAAGAGCCCAGGGGGCGGGCACATGCAACAAGCCCCACCCCCTGCTCCCAGCAGCCCTCAGTCAGAGCAAGAAGCAGCCAAGTAAGCTGCAGAGGCCCCCCCGGCCCCCGGTCCAAAACAGTCCAGTGGCACATTTAAGACCAAGTTTTATTCAGGTACAAGCTCTCCCTCCTCCTTTGCGAGGACAGATCTGCACGTTCCCCCCCCCCAATAGCTAGCAATCCAAAACAGTCCAGTGGAGCCTGAGCGGTGGGTGTTGCCTTCTGACATACTTCCGGTGATGTCGGAGTGTGTGGCATATGCAAATGAGTTATGCTAATGAGTTATGCTAATGAGCTCCTGCACCTCTTTTCCTACGAAATAACCCCATTTACAAGTATGATAAAACTATTCAGTCAATCAGTAAGCCAGTTGCAAAATATGATAACATTTGAATCTAACAGCAAAGATTTCTAGGAGAATAAAATTAGTCAACAAGCTGTTCCTGCTCCTAAAAAGACATAGCAGGGGTGGGGGGAGAAGAAGAGGAGGAGGAGATTGGAATTATACCCTGCCCTTCACTACCCAAAGGAGTCTCAGAGTGGCTTACAATCCCTTCCCCTCCCTACAACAGATACCCTGTGAGGTAGGTGGGGCTGAGAGAGCTCTCTTGAAAACTGCCCTTGAGAGAACCAGCAGCTGCATGTGGAGGACTGGGAGGACACCATCTGCTCCTGGGGCCTTGTGGCAATTTTTAAAGAACTACAAATGCTTTTAAAATGGTGTCGGTGGCCACAGGAGGGACTGGTGGCTTCTGTCACTTGTATTTGGTCCTGCATTAAACAACGTAATGCAGTAGGACTGGGACTGAAAGACTGGAAGAAAAAAACACTTCCTGAGCTGATCCATTATATCACAGCTCTATTTCCTGTACAAGAATGCCCTCCCAAATAATTCTGCTTTGCACAGACTCAGGCAGACCATTCCATAATGTGGAAGCCGCCACAGAGAATGCACATGAACATGCAGTTGCCAATTTTACCTGTTTGCAGGGTGGTACCTTCAGAAGGCTTTGTTCTGATGAGCAAAGCTGTCGCAGCAGAACATAGAAGAAGAGGCAGGTCCTGCAGGTCTGTGGGTTCAGTGCCATTAAGGGATTTATAGGTGAGAGTTAGAACCTTGAACTGAGACCAGTAACTGATTGGTAAAAATGCAGAATGGCAGTGATAAGCAGATTACACTTAGGACCCTATAGCAGCAAGGCCATGGTGCACCGTACTGACAGGAGTTTCTAAATTTTTACATTATGACTGAGACAATGTAGACTTCAGCATAATTTCCCAGCTCCTTGTTTCCCTCATAACAATAAGGCAGGGGGACATATGTACAGGTGAACTAGTAGGCAGTAGTGGGTTGCTTAATACTTTCTTCACTTGCCAATTCCTGCAGTATTTTCCAGTTGTATTTTCCCCATTTCCCCACTAGTCAGCTTTAAGAATTGAACTAACCTAGCAGTAAACAGGTATAGGAATGTTGGTGTGTTCAGTGTTTCAGGACTTAACTGTATATTGCATGCTAATGTGTGTAACAGTACCTGGACACCTTATTTTTTTAAGTCAAGTCATTTCAGAAGAGGAGAACTGAGCAAGAAGTAGGGGAGGGAGGCAGAAGGCATTTAACCATATCCCTCCCTATTCTCTGTACCAAATCTCCTCCGTGGCCCATTGGCTCTCCCACAGGGTTGAAAATCCATGTTTCATCTTGTGTTTTGAAAAGCTGCCTGGGACAGTTGTGTTACACTTTCATTACCTTCTCTCTCCCTCTCCCCCACTGGGCCACCCACTCACTAGCTCCTGCTGTTCTCTGCCTGTACAGCTCAGCAATACAGGGAACAGTTCCCACTCCTCCTTCCCTGTCCACCCCCTGCCCACAGGGAATGGTGCCACTGCCTCAGCCCCCAGGCTCTTTCTCTCCCCTTCCACCTGCCGCCTCCACCTGCCTAGCTCAAGTGGTGATGACTAGGGATGGGCACGAACCGGGAAAATAGTGGTTCGTGATGATTTGTGGTTCGTCAGACCCCACGAACCATGGTTCATGAACCTCCACAAACTTTTCAGTTTACCATCTGGTTCATGGTTCATTACGTTCGTGAGCTGAGGGACCTTCTGCAGAGGGCAGCATTTTTAAATGCCTTCCTTTCACTTGCTGACGTGGCTCAGTGAGAGAAGGGAAGACATTTAAAGAGTGAAGGGAAGGCATTTAAAGAGAACCCTCTTGCAAGCCAAAGGAATTGCAACAAAAAACATGGTGGTTCATGGGCGGTTCGTGAACAGCATGATTGCACAAATTGCAGTTCATAAACCAATAAACCAGCCCTCTTCATCATGAAATTTGGTTCATAAGTCAGTTCATGCCCATCTCTAATGGCTACAGTAACTACTCCAACTCCTCCTCCAGAGAGCCAGTTTGGTGTAGTGGTTAAGAACACGGACTCTAATCTGGGAGAACTGGGTTTGATTCCCCACTCCTCCACATGCAGCTGCTGGTGTGACCTTGGGTCAGTCATAAGTTCTTTCAGAGCTGTTCTCTCAAGGACAATTCTCTCAGAGCTCTCTCAGCCCCACCTACCTCAAAGGCAGTGTTCCCTCTAAGCTGAGTTAGTGTGAGCTGGCTCACAGTTTTTTAGCCTCCAGCTCACACATTTTTGTCTTAGCTCAGGAAGGATGGCTCCAGAGCAAACTAATTTATGCCGTAGCCAAATCACTTGCTCACAACTTTAATGCCAGTAGCTCACAAAGTAGAATCTTTGCTCACAAGACTCCACAACTTAGAGGGAGCATTGCTTACAAGGTGTCTGTTGTGAGGAGGCGAAGGGAAAGGGATTATAAGCCACTCTGGGACTCCTTCGGGTAGTGGGGTACTAATCCAGTCTCCTCCTCCTCTTCTTCTTCCAATTGTCAGGCACAGCCTGCCCTCCATCTGTTGCCTCTGCTGCAAGTAGGGCAGATGAGGTTGGCTGACAAAGTGTTCTGTGCACAAGCATGGAGAGCATTATTGTTTTTTGGGGGGAATTTAACACATAACCTTCCACTTCTGTTTCAAACACTCAGATTTATCTGCCAACCTACGGGGTCTCACAGGGGTGTAGAACTGTTTTTATCAGAATCATACTGATCTATGGGTTTGTATCCACAGATGGGCCCACACTTGACTCTTAAAATCAAAAGACAAGAAAGGCCATTTGATTTCATGTTTATACCAAATAACACTAACGAAAATATATAATTACTGTCTCATTTTCTTTGTGATGTGTTGACCCTGAACACACCTTCCAAGTGCAAATGTGTACTAACGGAGTGCTGTATTTGCCAACAGTTTCTGGTTGGATATGTTTATAGCAGTCCTTACGAATTGCACCTTGTGGGATGTATGAATAAATAGCTCTTGCACTTCTGCTTGAAAACAGGGTTACAAGATTTTACTCAGAAATCCTAAACAGGAGTTGGTATAACTGTTTGGGATTACACTGTCACTATAAGATATCAGCCACACTATTCCCAGCAATAATTGGTGGTACTGGAGTGTTTGGCCTCACATAACGAGAACTTCATTCTTAGCCAATAAGAAAAAAGGCAGGTTTACTATGATAAGGAAATGTACAAGATAGTGAAAGAATTCTGGTATGACATCCGTGCTGACAAAATCTATATATCTAATTCCCAATTTGCCCCCGCTCCGGGGGCAGCTGGGGGGCCGGGGGAGGTTTGTGCACACGTGGGCCAGTCCCCACATGTGCACAAAAATAAAAAAAGTTGTAAAAAATTTCGGGGGGATGTTTAAATCCCCCCGAAAGTGCAAGAGCATCTCCTGCGCGTGCGCAGGAGACACTCTGCGACCTACCGGGCGAAGGACCGGCCTCGCCGCCGCCGCTGGCTGGCTGGCTGGCTGGCTGGCGGGCGGGCGAAGACCAGCCTCGCCGCCGCCACCTCCTCCTCCTCTTTGGAGCCGGCCGGCCGGCCGGGCAGACAGGCACACAGGCAAGGGGGAGGGCGGGGAAC